ACAATATTCTGTCTGTATGCCTGAAGGCCAGAAGAGGGCGCCAGACCTCTTTACAGATGGTTGTGAGCCACCATGTGGTTGCTGGGAATTGAACTCAGAACCTTTGGAAGAGCAGGCAATGCTCTTAACCACTGAGCCATCTCTCCAGCCCCCATTGAGTTTTTTATTACACCAATCACAGCAATACATTTTCCCACAGTGTACAAATACCCTGCAACAAAGGGCTGCCTCTGACTCTAGAGCATGCAGCTTATCTGTCTTGCTTGGTTGAGTTCTTGGATGTTGAGTTGCCTGCCAATCAGCCCTTGGAGCATAGAACTCTGTGCTTTTTCAGACCTTGCTGTTCTTGGCTCTGTTTGGCACTAAGTAGATTCATGTTCGCTTGCTTCTGTCCTTCCTGCCTGTGACACCTATGCTTCCTCTTGCAGCCCGTGTGGCTCTCTGTGGACTTTGATAACTGGAGAGACTGGGAAGGAGATGACGAGGTGGAACTGGCTCAGGTGGAGCATTACGCAGAGGTAGGAGGCACCGCTCCCTGCTGCCCCTCTCAATCCTTCTGTGTCTGTCTACAGGCAGCCAGCTGGGGAAATCATCAGGGCCGGGCGGGGCTACTGAAACTCCCTAAGCCCGCCAGTCCCTGGTGCTGATATGCTGTATATTTTATTTTTTGTTTATTTAGCAGAAATAAGAGCAATAAGTATTAGTGAAATTTAAAAGAGAAAAATTAGAGATTTATTACTTCATTTGTTTATTTTTGAGAAAGGGTCTTAACTATGTAGCTCTGGGTGGTTTCGAACTTGCTATATATAGACCAGTGTGAATCTCACAGATATGCCACCATCGCCCGGCTTCTCTCTCTCTTTTTTTTTTTTTTTTTTGAGACTGGGTTTCTGTGTGTAACTATGGCTGTCCTATAATTTTTGTAGACCAGGCTGGTCTTGAACTCACAGAGATCTGCCTGCCTCTGCCTTAGGAGTACTGGTATTAAAAGTGTTCAATTCCACTATCCAGCAGAGTCAACTTATGTAACTGAAGCTGATCTTGAACTTTCAATCCTCCTGCCTCAGCCTATGAGTACTGGGATTATAGGCCTGTGATACCGCACCCACTTTAAATCAGTATTTTTAGTTATTTTCATCTTGGTTTGTTTGGTGTTTTGATTTTTAATTTATCATGTGTATGTATGTATGCTCTAGTGAGTTTATGTGTCCCATGTGAATGTAGCTGCCAGAGAAGACTAGAGAGCAGTAAATGCTTGATTTGGGTGCTGGGAACTGAACCTGGTTTCGAGCAGTAAATGCTCTTTAACCACTGAGCCATCTCTCCAGGCCCTGGCTCTTTTGATACAGGGTCTCAGGTAGCCCAGATTGGCCTTGAAAACTTCCTAGGTAGTGAACTGAGGCTGGCCTTGAATTCCTGATCTTCCTGCCTCCACTTGTTAAATTCTAGTATTTAACTTACTAGGCTATCCAAAATACTCAGCCTGAAATTAACTGTTGTCAGCTACCATGTACGTGCTAGAAACCAAACTCAGGTCCTCTTCAGGAGGGAAGTGCTCTTAACTGTTGAACCATTTCTCCAGTCTCCACTTATTTGTTATGTCTACAGTGTTGGCACCAGACCTCATTACAGATGGTTGTGAGCCACCATGTGGTTGCTGGGAATTGAACTTAGGACCAGTGGAAGAACAGTCGGTGATCTTAACCTCTGAGCCATTTCTTCAGTTGCCCCCCCCCACCATTAATTTTTAAGAAAGGGAATCATCTCAAAAGAAAGAAAGAAAGAGGGCTGGAGAGATGGCTCAGAGGTTAAGAGCATTGCCTGCTCTTCCAAAGGTCCTGAGTTCAATTCCCGGCAACCACATGGTGGCTCACAACCATCTGTAATGGGGTCTGGTGCCCTCTTCTGGCCTGCAGGCGTACACACAGACAAAATATTGTATACATAATAAATAAATAAATAAATAAATAAATAAATAAATAGAAAGAGAGAGAGAGAGAGAGAGAGAAAGAAAGAGGCATAGAAGAATATCAATAGACTTTGCTCCGATTAATGGCTGGGTCTGGGGGCATTCTCCTGTCTCTACTAATATTCAGACTTCTTTTCTCTCATCTCTCACGACTGTGTCTCTCTTCCCATAGCTTTTGAACAAGGTCAGCACCAAGAGACCTCCCCCTGCCATGGATGATCTAGACGTAAGTAATGCCTTTCCTAGATTCTTTGGTTTCCTTTTAGCCTTTACAAATGACACATTAGGGTTGGATACAGCTTAATGGAAGAGTGCTTTCCCACCATGCAGGAGGCCCACCCTCCAAAAAGGAATGGAAGAAGTAACACAAACATGTAAGAAGAATGTGTATTCCAGCCGCCTTTAATCCCAGCACTCGGGAGGCAGAGGCAGGCGGATCTCTGTGAGTTTGAGGCCAACCTGGTCTACAAGAGCTAGTTCCAGGACAGGCTCCAAAGCTACAAAGAAACCATATCTCAAAAAACAAAAAACAAAACAAAAAGAATGTGTATTCCATTCTTTAGCACACAGCAGTTCTCTGCATGTTAACCAAGTCTGCATTTCACACATGAGGTTGAATTTCAGCCTCCCCCTTCCTCCTCCCCATCTTAGGACAGACTTGGCTCTAATGAGTGTCTTTGCCGCTTTAAAGAACAATAATAACTCCCCTTGAAATTCCTGGTGGTTCAGCTCTGTTGTAAGAACGGCGGGTCGCTTCCCGCCACCCAGCTAGCTTTACCCAAAATAATTACATGGAAACTGTATTTTTTAAAACATTGTTTAGCCCATTAGTTTTAACCTTTTATTGGCTAGCTCTTATATATTGATCTAACCCATTTTTAATATTCTGTGTAGCACCATGAGCTGGCTTACCAGGAAAGATCTTAACCTGTGGTCTGTCTGGAGTGGGAGAATCATGGCGACTGACTAACTCAGCTTTTTTTTTTCCTAGCATTCTGTTCTGTTTACTCCACCCACCTAAAGGTTGTCCTATCAAATGGGCCAAGGCAGTTTCTTTATTAATTAACCAATGAAAGCAACAGATAGATACAAGACCCACCTCCATTATTTTTCCTTTTTTTGTTTAAAAAAAAAAGAAGGCTTTAACTTTAACATATCAAAATGACATATAAAAAACAGTTATCAAGCAAGAATTACAGTTACAATATTTATATTTACCTTATCTTTTATCATAACAATGGAAAACTATAACTATAACCATTTTTTTAACTCCATCAAGACTCCAGAAGGATATAATATTACCTAAGTAAACAAGAAATCTAAAACTCTAGAAATGACAGAGACATCTTGCTGCCTGGACAGTCACCCAAAGTTCCTCTGTACCGTTGGGGCGTCCATCTTCGGCCTACAGGCCCATAGTTTCCAGCAGACGTTTTCAAATACACGGCTCATTATCCAAAGTTAGACTCTTTGGTCTTAGCTTCCTAAGACTTGTGACTTAGGATTTTAGGGGAACAGGGGTGGGGTGGGGTGGGGCTTGAGGGTGTGAACAGCATCATTGAAGGTTACCATAGCAATGACCGATGCTTTGTTTTCTCTTTTCAGGATGATTCTGATAGTGCGGATGCAGCAACTAATTAGGTTTCTGTGACAGCAGAGCTGGGGAGGAGGCTGTAGCTACCTTCTGTCATGTGGAAAGGCTATGGTGCGCCTTCATCAACTGTTTTGTTATGCATCAGGATCCACTGAGACCTCTAAACTTTTCCAGAAGCTTTTCTTCCTTCCTTCCTTCCTTCCTTTTTTTTTTTTTTTTTTTTTTTTTTTTTTTGTTTTGTTTTGTTTTTGGAGACAGGGTTTCTCTGTGTAGCTTTGGAACCTGTCCTGGAACTCGCTCTGCAGACCAGGCTGCTGGCCTTGAACTCACAAAGATCTGCCTCCTCAGAAGCTCTTTTTTTTTTTTTTTTTTTTTTTTTGTTGTTGTTGTTGTTTTTCAAGACAGGGTTTCTCTGTAGCTTTGAAGCCTATCCTGGAACTAGCTCTTGTAGACCAGGCTGGTCTCAGCAGAGTCCAGAGAGATCCACCTGCCTCTGCCTTCTGAGTGCTGGGATTAAAGGCATGTGCCACCACCACCTGGCAGAAACTTTCTTAAGGGTCCCTCTTTATGCCACAGGTCTTCCTCCTGGTTGCTCCAGTGTGGTCCTGTATTGGCTAGGAGGGAGGGTGAGGCGCTGGCTGTTGGGGTTTCTGACTTCCATTGATTTGACTTAGAATCTGTGCTTGGGATGCTGGGGTTATTTGGACACACATTTCTATGTGGTAAAGCAAAGGCCAAAAAAGAAAGAGATTACTGTAAATTCTAGGAGTGTTGCTGTCTCTTTCCTTCTGGCACTTTCCCCCCACTCTGGGAAGCCTTGTCAGAGATTCTGGCCCCTTTTGCAGCATGTATCCAAGTCAGGGGATTTCATCTCACCCAGATAGACAACCCAGTCAGCCCTTGACCCTTAGCTTCCTGTACAGCTCTGTGATAGTGTGTAGTGTATGTTTCAGAGAACAAGAGTTTGGTTCTTAGCACCCATACCAGGGTTGTGAGGTGGTTCACAACCACCTGTAACTTAGTACACATACACATAAATAAAATATTTTTAAAAATCCAAATTATCATAAATCACAGGTTTCTGAGGTTTGTGGGTTAAATTTTTTTCCCTATAGTTAAAAACAGTTACATGCTGAAATATTATGGATGTTTGTTTTAAATAAAATATTAATATACACGCCTTGTCTATTTCTGTTCAGCCCCTCTTATTTCCACCTTTCATGCGGCAGGGCCTCCGCAGTTCAAATTACACGGCCCCAAGACTGTCTGAAGAACGTCTCAGATCAAGTTGTAAATTTTGTTTTATGGTCTTTCAGTCTTAAAACGTTGACAAAACAAGACAGAACACCTGTAGTTAGCAGTTTCAGTAAATTGGATCAAACCACACCCCCTTCCTTTACGCCATCACGTTTGCGCAGAAACGCTTAAGAAAGTTTGTCCCGGGTCGCTCTCCGTCCCCCGCCCGGCTCTTCGGCGCGCGCGCTGGTCTCCAGGGCCTAGGAGTCCGCGATGGCGTTCCTGTGTCAGCGCGACAGCTACGCGCGGGAGGTGCGGCCTGGTGGGCGAGGGTCCTGAGACTGAGGGTGCCACCGGGAGGGAGGGGGAAGACCGGCTGCAATCTCGGCGTCCGCGGGCTCACCCTCGCCTCCCTCTCTGTTCCCAGTTCACCACCACCGTGGTCTCCTGTAGCCCCGCTGAACTGCAGACGGACGCGAGCGGCGGCAAGAAAGAAGTGCTGAGCGGTTTCCAGGTGGTTCTGGAAGACACGCTGCTTTTCCCCGAGGGCGGGGGCCAGGTATACCAGGAGCTGCCTCAGCCCGACCCGCTCCCGGGGACCCCCACATTCCTGTTCGCTCCCGCAGAAAATGCACTCGCCCTTCCTTAGCCTCAGTAAATCAAACTGTTAGTTCATTCAGCAATGTAGTTAAGCTTATGTAGTCACGACACACGCAGTGTGTCATCTTCCAGGCGCTGAAGATAACGGGTGAACAAGTCAGTGCCTCTACATACATGGAGTGCTTATTGCAGACGACCCTGTAGGCCAGGTGTAAGTCATAATAATGTCACCAGAAATAAAGCTGGGTCAAGGGAAAGAGAGTGGTGGGGTGCTCTCCTCAGTGGAGAACACTCTAGACTTCTCGGTACAAGCAAGAGAAAGATTTCAGGCAGACAGAATACTGTGCAAAGGCCCTGGGGTTGGGAATGAAGGCGAAGGGTTTCACAGGGACTGCGAAAGAGGCTGCCTGGAGTTCAGAAGAGGGGGGTGGCCTTCAGAGCCGACTTCTCAGTGCTCTGATGGAGAGCCTGGCTGCGGTGTCTAAGAAGAGAGGTTTCACTAGCCTGCTGACAGCATAAGCAGGGTAGTGAAGCCTGACAGACGAGATAAATCTAACTGTAGATAAAAGAATGCCGTGGTGCACGCGGAGAAGGAGCTAGAGACAGCTTTGGGAAGCTGAGTGGGGCTGGTTCAGAGGGCCCTGGGGGTGTACAAGGTTTATAGACTCCATTCGGGAAACCATTGAGCCATGGAGGATCTGAAGCAGAGACGTGGCTCAAGAGGATTCAGTGGACTTGTGGGAGGAGCCCCAGTATTTTTTTTTTTTTTAAATAAAGGAAAACATTTAGTTGAGGTGGCTTATATTTTCAGGGGTTTGGTCCATTATCATGGTGGGACATAGCAGCTGCAGGCAGACGTGGTGCTGGAGAAGTAGCTACGTGTCCTTCATCTTATCTCACAGGCGACAGAGAGTGGTCACCCAGTTTTATTTTGTTTTGTTTATTTTTTATTTTATTTTTTTTTAAAGATTTATTTATTTAGTTTACAGTGTTTTGTCTGCACGTATGCCTGCAGGCCAAAAGAGGGCACCAGATTTCATTACAGATGGTTGTAAGCCACCATGTGGCTGCTGGGAATTTAACTCAGGACCTCTGGAAGAGCAGTCAGTGCTCTTAACCTCTGAGCCATCTCTCCAGCCCCTGTTTTGTTTTTTGTTTTTGTTTTTTTTTAATCAGTTCCTTATTTTCCCACATGGAGATGTTCTGAACTGCTAAAGAAAAACCCTTGACCCTCAAATATCTATAGAATGTCTCCTTATTTTTTTTTTTTATTTCTTTCTTTTTATCACTTTTCCTTGCCCAACACTATCCAAACAAAATAAAACTACAGGACTGAAATTAACAACCCATTAAAATTAGCAATAAGTTATGAAAATTATAAAGCTTTTTTTAAAAAAAGTAGTTAAGGGTAGTTAAATTATTTAAAGAATACAAAGTCCAAACAGCTGGGGGTAAGGTCTCCAGAAAAGGCCCAGAGGGAAACCTCGGAGTTTGAAAAACAAAGGGAACACATGACATCAAAGTGCAGGCTAGAACGTTCATCTCTTCTTATTTTTAAAACTTCACTTATGCAGTCAGGCACATTGCAAAAGTCACTTCAGATTGTGTTTTCTGTATTCTACTTCACAATTAGAAAAAAGTTATTTTGTTCCCATATCACTAACAATTTTTGTTGTTATAAGATTAAATGATCCAAAAATGAAAAGTTCAAACTGAAGCTGTTGGACCAAATTAAAAAAAAAAAACACCTACACTTAATTCATTTTATTTTTATTTATTTGTGTGTGTGTGTGTGTGTGTGTGTGTGTGTATGAGAGAAAGAGAAAGGGGGGGAGGGAGAGGACTTGTGGGAGTAAGTTTTCTCCTACCTAGGTCCCAGGGATTGAACTCAGGTTTTTAGGCTTGGTAGCAAATGTCTTTAACCTCTGAGCCATCTTATCTGCCCTGAAACTTTCATATTACATACACATCACATCCTTCAGGCTTCCCAGGTCCCCCAAAACTAATAGTCAGGTCTCTTTAGATTTCATTTCTGTGCTGTGATGTATGTGTCTTATTTGGTGGATATCATTTTTTGTGGTGTGATCTATGTGTCTTATTAACATCGTGTTATTTGGTGGCGCAGTCTTGTGAACAGCTGGCACTTGATAGTTTCCTAAATGACGAATATCGTTGGATCTAATTATGACGTCAGTGCTGAGGACTGAATGGTTAAAGGCAGGAGCACTCGGGTCACTTTAGAACTATTAATAATAGTCTCTAGATAATCTAAGGTGACAACAATGAGGACTAAAGATTTTTGGATTTTACTAGCATCTTTAACACTGTACTTTTTTCTGTTTTAATTCTGCTGTTCTGCCCTAAAGAACATGTGTAGGTGTTCAGAAAGAGGACAGGAAATCCTGTCATAGAATAAAGTGGGTCCACCTCACTTGACATTGTCTCCTCGTCCCCTAGAGCACTCAGTGCCCGCCTCTCTGAGCGCTTCCCCTGAGAGTGTCTTTGCATCTTGGTAGGGTGAGACCTGCCCTAGTGTTGATGACTTTCTCCCCCCAGCCTGATGACCGTGGTACCATCAATGACATCTCTGTGCTGAGAGTGACCCGCCGTGGGGCCCAGGCTGATCATTTCACACAGACAGCTCTGTCCCCTGGGAGCCAGGTCCAGGTCCGGGTGGACTGGGAGCGGAGATTTGATCACATGCAGCAGCATTCAGGTAAGGGCCACAGGCCGGGGATGCACAGGGAGGAACCGCAGTGTCATGGTGACGGAGGTGGGGTTTCCGTTCTCCTACCTAGCATCAGCTTTGGTTCAGGCAGCAAATGGTAAGTGTGAAAACACCATGAACATTAAAGTCCTGGAAGAGCTATTCACTTTTTCTCCTCCATTTAAAAAATATGTTTTATTTATCAGGGAGGGGATATGAACATGTCACATTATGCCTGTAGTGGTCAGAGGACAACCGTATGGGTCCTGGGGTTGATCTCAGGTTGTCTGGCAACACCTTACTCATTGAGCCATCTTGCCAGCCCTTTCTTGTTTTGGGGGGGGGGGGGACAGTTTTCCTGTGTGGCCTTGGTTAGCCTGAAATTCAATATGTAGATCAGGCTGACTGCCTGCCACCTGAATACTGGGTTACAGGCATGAGCCACCATGGCCACTCATTCCTGCTGGTTGGAATGTTCTCACTTGATGTCTCTATCTGGATGTCTTGTAGGTTCTCAGATTCATAATGTCTCAAAATGAAATGGGAAGGCTGTTCTCTTCTCCTTGGGCTTACACGAATATAGTGTTGGGCATCAGCATTTCCGCGGTCATTCAAATCGATGCCACTTTTGGAGACACTGAGCCAAGTCTGGTGTCTTGATTATCCTCAGGGATCTTTCTCCTTCCGTCCACACAGTTGTCCTTGTCCCAGCCCTCGTCTTCCTCCCTGTGGACCTCTGGCTGATTTCCTCACCTCCAGTCTTGCTCCTTGCCCCTCTGTTTCCGTACATCAGTCCAAACAGCCTTCCTTTCCTCACATTAAGGCTTAAATACAGGGCCTCATGCCATAGAGCAATCTTTTATTTTCTTGCTGTACTGGAGGTTGAACCTGGGGCCCTGCATGTGTTAGCCACACCCTCTGTCACAGTGCTATGTCCTGAGCCTCAGAACAATCCTTTAAAGAAGAAAATCAGATCATCTCAGTCCCTTGTGGTTCTGTGTGGAAAGCCATTCTCCTCACCGAGGCCTGCAGCCCTGGCAGGACTGCTCTTGTGCGTGCTCGGCTTCACAGTGCCTCTCGGCCTCACTGGGCTCTCCACAGCTTGCTGCCCGCACCCCATCGCACTCATCCATTTGAACATGTTACTGCACAGATCAGGCCTCTTTCCTCCTCAGGCTTTGACTGTTTGTTCCTTATGTGTCCTAGTTAATTCTTCTTTTTTCCCCAAGACTTATTTATTTATTATGTACACAGTGTTCTGCCTGCACGTATGCCTGCAGGCCAGAAGAGGGCACCAGATCACATTACAGATGGCTGTGAACCACCATGTGGTTGCTGGGAATTGAACTCAGGACCTCTGGAAGAACTGACAGTGCTTTAACCGTTGAGCTGTCTCTCCAGCCCCCTTTTCCTTTTCTTGTCTTTTCCCGTCTCATCAGTCAGGAGTGCAGCTGCATCTCTGACATCGAGGCCTGCATTCTGCATGTGGCAGGTGCTCAGTAAACATCTGTCAAGTGAATCAGTGACACCCCAGCACTTCAGCTCAGATCCCACCTCTGAGGAGCTACTCTGCTTTGGCAAATTACTATGAAATAGCCCTGTAAAGCTGATGGGAGAATTCTCATGATGATCTCCCCCCTCTTCAGGGCTAGGAATTGACTTAGGGTCATTCATTTGCTTAGGCAAGTACTCTGCCACTGAGCTAGACCCCCAGCCCCTGTGATTTTCAGTCATGTATCTAAAATGCCTGGCAGTCCTTTAGTGGGAATTCCTGATGTCATGGGGCTGTGTGGCTGGGCTTCTCAACTCGCTCCTGTCTCTTGCTCCTGCTCAGGGCAGCATCTCATCACAGCAGTAGCTGACCATCTCTTTGGGCTGAAGACGACGTCATGGTGAGTCCAAGGCATGCTTAGGATGGGGATAGGTCCCTGGCTCCCACCTCTGCTCCCAGCGATGGGTCAGGATAGGTTGCCCATCTTTTCTTCTTGAAGACCGAGGGGTCATGGGCAAACCTTGTGTTTCTCAGGAGAAACTTGAGATGAGAGCAGGGGCATCTGCCTGCTTGGGAAAGAACACAGAGTTTAGAGCCCAGAGCTAAGTGTGGTCCTGCTCCTTATGGTGCTGCATTTGCAAAATGGGAATGGCGCTCCCTACCTATGGGATTTTTTTGTGTGTGGATTCAATACAATTATTTATGGATTTTTTTTTTACTTTTTAAGATAGAGTCTTTCTATATCGCCCAGGCTGGCTTTGTAGTTTGAGGTTGGCCTGGAGTTAACAGCAGAGAGTTTCCTGAGTACAAGATGATAGGTACCCCTAATGTTCTAGGAGTGTGAACTTGCTGGGTTTTGGTAGGCGACCTTATATTCCCGTCTTCTCCCTCTGTGTCCTAAGCCCTAGGATTACAGGCTCAGCGTGAACATTCCTCACCTACTTTCAGCTTGCTGTGTCCCTGCTGCTTTTCCTGGCAGGGAATTAGGGAGACTCCGGAGTGTGATTGAGTTGGACAGCCCTTCTGTGACTGCAGAGCAGGTAGCTGCCATTGAGCAAAGTGTCAACCAGAAAATCAGAGATCGGCTTCCTGTGAGTGTGCGAGAGCTGAGCCTGGATGACCCTGAGGTGGAGCAGGTGAGACGGGAGGCAGGCACCAGTGTCCACAGAGTGGCTCTTCAAGGGCTCCTCATCAAATTTCAGACAGCCCTGTTCCCTCCCCCTGTTCTAGGTGAGGGGCCGGGGTCTCCCAGATGACCATGCTGGGCCTATTCGCGTTGTTACCATCGAGGGTGTCGATTCCAACATGTGCTGTGGGACCCACGTGAGCAATCTCAGTGACCTGCAGGTAAGTGTGGAGGGGCTGTGGAGTGTGAGCCGGGTTGTTGGGGAGCAGGCTGGCAGTGGCAGGTGAGTCTGATCCACTGTGGTGGAGTCCTAAGAGCCACTGTGGTGTGTGTCTGTGTGTTACCCCCTTTGTGCAGGTCATTAAGATTCTGGGCACTGAGAAAGGGAAAAAGAACAAAAGCAACCTGATATTTCTGGCTGGGCACCGGGTACTGAAGTGGATGGAGCGAAGTCATGGGAGAGAGAAAGCGCTGACCACACTGTTGAAGTAGGCCCCGTCCCCAGCCCCTGCTCCCCAGGCCTGTACACCCCCCTCCACACACACCCAGAGCTTAGCATTTGCACCTGCCGGGTAGATGGGATAATCTACCTCTCTGAAGGGTGAGGTGCTTTGGACAGCAGCTCAGAACCACACACAATAGTTTATTCCTTGCTATCCTGTCTCTCAGTTGCTTAAGGGACCCTTTGAATGTTCCCATCTTGAGGAAGGCGCCCCAGCAAGGAGAGGTTGTTGGTTGGCGCCGCCCCCCCAACTCTGGAAGCACTGGACAGTTGGCCAGTCTCCATTAACTGTTGTCTTTTAGGTGTGGAGCCGAGGATCACGTGGAAGCAGTGAAGAAGCTCCAGAATGCCACCAAGCTTCTGCAGAAGGTGACTATGGGGAGTGGAGAGGGCCTGGGCTCTGCCAGGGAGACTCGGGACTCAGCCTCTAGCCTGGGCCAATGTGTGGATTATCAGGGGTGTTCGAGGGCCGCACAGGAGGAGAGGGAATGGTGCCTCTGTTGTCTCTCACACCTTTCTGAGTTCTCACATCCATTTCAGAACAACCTGTGTCTCCTCAGAGACCTGGCTGTGCACACTGCCCACAGCCTCAGGAGCAGCCCAGACTGGGGAAGTGTGGTTACACTACACAGGTGAGAGAGGAGGGGCTGGAGACAGGCAGAGGGATGAGAGGGGCAGTGCACAGTGGGACGTGGGTTGCTAAGCAGCGCACTAGGCTGAATAGACTGCAGGAGCTGTTACTGGACTTGCTGGATCTGACTTTGTCGGCTTCGTTAGCTCCTTTCCTGGCTTCCCTCACATCTAACAGATCAGCCAGCATCTTGGAGGTCCTTTGTGTGTAAACTGCTGAGGCTGAGGGCATCTTCTCTATGCTGAGGGGTCTGGAACTTTGTGTGCTCAGATGGGAAGCAATGAGATCTGTCCGTTGTTGACCTGGCTCCTCTTGAGGTGGTGACACAGAGCTACCTCATCCTGGGTCTCATATCTGTGTCCTTTGTTGTAGGAAAGAGGGTGATTCTGAGTTCATGAATATCATCGCCAATGAGATTGGGTCAGAGGTAAGAGGAATGAGAGAGTCCTCCTCTACTCTGCAGAGGCTCTGGGAGGTAGAACTGAGGGAGTCAGCTTAACCTGAGTCCCTTCAGATTAACACATGAAGAGCTGAAAAAATTTCACCCAGATTGTTTTTCCTAACACTAGCCACCACCCCAGCTCTGTTGTTAGGGAAGCTCGGAAGATTTAGATTTGTGTGCTGAGAGACCCTCGGAGGCCTCTGCCTCAGGCCTCAGGCCCCAGGCCTCACTTGCCTTTCTTCATCCCTATGGTCTAGCACAGGTAATTGCCAGGTTTCTTTTACCCTTTTAAGCCCATTATGGAATGTCTCCCTGGGGCTAAAGTAATTCTGCTTTCTACATAGCACTGATTCTCAGAGAGCCATGTTCTAGCCTGAGAGACATGTGTCTGTCAGCATTTATAATTTGAAGTGATAAATGCTGGAGGCAGAACCCATTACCTAAAGGGAAAGAGGCCTGCTTAGAGGTATTCAGGTAGCCAAGGAGCATAGTGGCTGGCAGATAGGGTGTCTGGTAGAGCAGAGATGGGAAGGGTGGTTGTGAGACCAGGACAGTCAGCAGCCTGCTGCCTCTTTGTGTTTAACCTCCTGACTGTTCTCATAAAGCTTTCTGGGCCAGAGTGAAGGAAGGCTATGCCATTGGCATCACTGATGTCTCTGGTTTAGAGGGAGCTGCCTGTTCTGGACTCAGGAGAGTATGGGCCCTAGAGAGTTGACCCCGTGTGTTCTCACCTCCTTGTCTTACCTCCTAGGAGACCCTCCTGTTTTTAACTGTGGGGGATGAGAAAGGTGCTGGACTCTTCTTATTGGCAGGGCCAGCGGAGGCCGTGGAGACCCTGGGGCCCAGGTAATGTGGTACGGGCTCCTGAGCAGTAGGTGGGGAAGTTGTGTCCTTCTGACATATTGATGCGGCCATGTGCTAGGAAGCAGGACATCACATCCATGGTGGCCTTGGTTCACATAGGACGTGAGGCCGGCCGAGCAGGTGTGGGCTGACGCCAGCACTCCTCGTTTGATGGATTAGGGACCGTACATCCTGCATTTGAGGTCTCGTAGTTAAAGTGGCAGAATGAGAATCAACCACAGGGATTTTTTTTTTGTGCTTATATTTTATTGATTTATAATTCCACCACAGGGATTTTTTGTTTGTTTTAAAGAAAATTTGATCCCTAGAAGTAGGTGTTAATGTGATGCTTCCTGGAGAATTAGAAAACAACTGTCTCCTCACCCCAGACTGGGATCCAGCAACAGACCAAAGTCTTACATGGTGAAACAAGGAGTTTTTTTGGGGTTACTTACAGGAATAAGGGTGAGGGGTTACTTACAGGAGCAGAGATGGCTCAAAGACAGGTGCATCACCAAAGCCCACCCTAGCATGGGTGACAGCCCACAAAACTGCCCACTTCTGTCTCCTGAGTGTGTCCCACCATACCTGGCTTATTTTCTTATTTAATTACCTCCAGAGGTATATGACTCCTGTTTTTTTTTGAGCATTAAAGTTTCAGTCATTATTGGTGATAAGTAATATGTGTTCCTTGGAAATACTGAAGGAAAACAGTTATTTATAATGGAAATTCCTAACAGGCACCATATGTGTCTGCCCTTCCCCTCCTTCCCTCCTTCCCTCCCTCCCTCCCTCCCTCCCTCCCTCCCTCCCTCTCTCCCTCTCTCTCCTTCCTCCTACTTTGTTTTTCTTCTTGCTTTTTTTTTTTTGGATAGTCTCCGAAGCTGGCCTCAAACTTGCATCAGTCTCCTGCATCAGCCTTCTCTGATTCCTAGAAATTGCCCTGTCTCCTTCCTCTAGGCCCTGAGGACTGCCCTTGATTTTTGACTTTTCACCAACCATCTCCTTAACTTTCTCTGTTCTCTAGGGTGGCTGAAGTCTTAGAAGGCAAAGGAGCAGGGAAGAAGGGCCGCTTCCAGGGCAAGGCCACCAAGATGAGCCGTCGGGCAGAGGTGCAGGCACTTCTGCAGGACTATGTCAGCTCACAGAGGGCTGAGGAGTGAGGGGCCAGGATGCCCGTCCCCGTGACCACAGCAGTCTTTTGGACAGTAAAAGAGTGTCACCCAAAATGATTGTGTACTGTTGTTTATGCATGGTGCATTCGAGTGTGCTAATGCATTAACACCTTTGTGAACAGTTTCTAAAAACTGGCTCCTCTTAGGTATAATCCCATGAGTGGAGATTAAATTAATGATCTAGGCCCTGCTGAAAGCTTCTTGCTCATATAGTTGCTTATGGCAACAAGGCTTGATACTACAAGACTTGACTCAGGTTGGAGAGATGGCTCAGAGGTTAAAAGCACTGGCTGTTCTTCCAGAGGTTCTAAGTTCAATGCCCAGCAACCACTTGGTGGCTCACAACCATCTGTAATGAGATCTGATGCCCTCTTCTGGCTTGCAGGCAGAATACTGTACACATAATAAATTAGTCTATAAAAAAGAAAGAAAGAAAGAAAGAAAGAAAGGAAGAAAGAAAGAAAAAAAATTTGACCCAGGTCTCGCCTCATTCAGATCTCCTTGCTTTATTTTGTCTTTGTTTTTTTGGTTTTTTGAGACAGGGTTTCTCTGTGGCTTTGGAGCCTGTCCTGGAACTAGCTCTGTATAGACCAGGCTGGTCTCGAACTCACAGAGATCCGCCTGCCTCTGCCTCCCAAGTGCTGGGATTAAAGGCGTGCGCCACCATCGCCCAGCTTTTGTCTTTGTTTTTTGAGGTAGTCTTTCAACATCACCCAGGCTGGCCTTCTCACAATCCTAAATGCTGAGATTATGGACACAGACTTCGAGGTTTCAGGCCTGGGTTTTGTGTGTGTGTGCACGCTCACAAACAGGAATTGACCTCAAGGCACTGTTTACTTTTAATTAATTATTGCAAGAGCATCTCTACTGACCTGGAACTCAACAAGTAGGCTATGCGGTCACTGAGTTCCAAGGAGTTTGCCTCCCTAGACTGGGATTACAAACACATACCACTATGCCTACCTAACTTTTTTTTATTATTTTTATTTATTTCTTCTTTTGGAGACAGAGTTTCTGCATAGTCTTGACTGTCCTGGAACTCACTGTATAGACCAGGCTGGCATCAAAGTCACAGAGGTGCCTACAGTTTTTTTCAAAGCAGAGTTTCTCTGTAGCTTTGGAGCCTGTCTGAAACTAGCTCTTTTGGACCAGGCTGGCCTTGAACTCACAGAGATCCCACCTGTCTCTGTCTCCTGAGTGCTGGGATTAAAGGCATGTGCCTCCACCATCCAGCCCAATCTAACTTTTTAAGTACAGGTCCTAAGGATCAAGTCCTCCTTTGTCAACTGAGCTACTTCCCCAACCCTTCGGACTTTGTGTTTGTGTGAGTGCAGCTGTATGTGGGTTCTCTGTGTATACACATCTGGAAACTTCCAGGAGTCTCTTGTTTCTGTCATTTTACTGTTAACCCCATAGCTCCCGGGCGATTCCCCTTTCTGTCCCCATCTCACCTGGGATTGTTGAGATCCCAGATACATGCTGCTATTGTGTCCTGCCTCTATTTTTTCAAGACAAGGTTTTCCTGTGTAACAGCCCTGGCTGTCCTGGAACTCGCTCTGTTGAACAGGCTGGCCTATAATTGACAGTTATCTGCCTGCTTCTGCCTCCCAAATTCTGGGATTAAAGGCACATGCCATCACCACTCAACCCTCTTTGCAATTTTGAAAACATGTATATTTTTTCTGCGTGTGCATACCACGTGTGTGGAGGGTAGAGATCAACTTGGGTGAATTAGTTCTCTCTACTATGTGTGTTCTGGGGCTTGAGCTCAGGTTGACCCCTTACCTTTACCTGCTGAGCCATATTGCCAACCCCACACCTGGCTTTGTATGTGGGTTCTGAGGATCAGACAATCAGATCTGAAATCCGGTTAGGCTTACACGGTAAGCAATTTTTTCACCTACTGAGCCAGCTCTTCAGCCCCATGGACCTCTTACAAGGGCACCAGTCACATGAGGGCTCTGCCCCCATCTCATAATCATCTAAAGGCTGTAGCCCCCATACCATCATTGGGGAGCTAGGACGTGAGTTTTTAGGGGGCACAGCACTGAGACCAGAAAGGGTATAATAAGACAGTGGTGGACCGGGCAGCCGTCCTTGCTCAGCACCACGTGGCTGGACTCTTCACTTGGAGCATGAGTGGCCAGATGCTTTATTCAAACTTGGTTTCGCTTCCAAGCAAGAGAGAAACCCTCCTTGGGGGGCAACCCTGGCTTACTGCTGAGGCACTCCCTGTCCTTCAGTTTCTTGACCTGAACTTGGGGAAATGAACACAGTGTCCTAAGAGGGAAAGAACTTTGTGAAATAACTCAGTAAGGAAGAGGCATAAACACTGGGGCAGATTACACGGGAAGAGTAATTAGTTGTGTAAAGCAGAATAAATAAGCAGGTTGAACTTGTGATATCACTTAAGCCTGTCAGAGAGTTCTTTTTTTTTTTTAATTTTTATTTTCATTGATTTTTATTGAGCTCTACATTTTTCTTTGTTCCCCTCCCTGCCTCTCCCCTCCCCTTCAACCCTCCCCCAAGTTCTCCATGCTCCCAATTTAATAACGAGTTCTTTTTTTAAAAAAATATTTATTAAAAAAATATTTATTTATTATGTATATAATATTCTGTCTGTGTATATGCCTGAAGGCCAGAAGAGGGTGCCAGACCTCTTTACAGATGGTTGTGAGCCACCATGTGGTTGCTGGGAATTGAACTCAGGACCTTTGGAAGAGCAGGCAATGCCCTTAACCACTGAGCCATCTCTCCAGCCCCTAATAACGAGTTCTTATCTCTTTCTACTTCCCATGTAGATTAGATCTATGTATGTCTCTCTTAGGGTCCTCGTTGTCTAGGATTGTGATTTGTGTGCTGGTTTTCTCCATTGTGTAAATGTACCACATTTTCCTTATCCATTCTTCGGTCGAGAAGAATGGATAGTTTGTTTTCAAATTCTGGCTATGACAAGCAAAGCTGCTATGAACATAGCTGAGCACATGTCCTTATGGTACGACTGAGCATCCTTTGGATATATACCCCAAAAGTGGTATTACTGGCTCTTGAGGAAGGTTGTTTCCTAATTTTCTGAGAAATCGCCACACTGACATCCAAAGGGATGTCAGAGAGTTCTTAACCCAGTGTCTGGGATCAAGAACTGTGTGTGCTCAGGGAAGGGGTGGATTGTCTGATGACATTCACCAGGAAGCCCAGCAGAATAGGTTTATTTGTTGAAGGATTTTAGAGGCATCGGGGAGATGACTCAGCAGTAAAGTGCTGGCTGCTTTTCTGGAGGTCTGGAATTTGGTTCTTAGCATCCATACTGGGCAGCTCACAACTGCCTGTATCTTCAGCACTAGGGGATCCTATGACCTTTTCTGGCCTCCTCAGACAGCTGCACACACGTAGCATACACATACAAATATACTTAAAAGAATTTTATTATGGGCTGGAGAGGTGGCTCAGCAGTTAAGAGCACCAGCTGCTCTTCTAAAGGACCACAGTTCAGTTCTTGGCACCCACATGTTACCTTTTGAAACCATAGTCGCAGGGGCTCTATCTCTCTTTTTTGGCCTCTTCGGTCACCAGGCAGTAAGTTACGTACAGACACACATCCAGACAAAACACCCAGACAAACACAATTTAAAAAATTTAAAAGGAGGCTGGAGAAATGGCTCAGTGGTTAAGAGCACTAGCTGCTCTTCCAGAGGTCCTGAGTTCAATTCCCAGCAACATGGTGGCTCACAGCCATCTGTAATGAGATCTGGTGCCCTCTTCTGGCATGCAAGCATACATGGAAGGAATGTTGTATACATAATAAATAAATAAATCTTTAAAAAAAAAAAAAGCACTGGCTGTTCTTCCAGAGGACCCGAGTTCAAGTTCCAGCACTCATACTGAGTGTAATTCTAGTTCCAGGGGATCTGAGACCCTCATACAGACATACATGCAGGCAAAACACTAATGCACATAAAATAAAAATCATTAAAAAAAATTACAAGGTGTTACATATATCCACACATAGAGATCGTACTTTCTGGAGTATACTATGGTGCCATGGTGCACCCTCACGGCAGGATTTGTCTTCGTGGAGCATATGTCAGTATGAAAAATGAAAGACAGTCTCTAGAGCAGGAAGCAGACAGTCCCTCGGCCCTACCTCACCTCTGGTCCAGGGTGGAAACTTGTAAGTCAGCCAGGCTATGCCAGAATGCCTGAGGTTTTTTCTTCCCCGAATGAGAACTTAAACTCTGGGGCCCTGTCTGGCACTTGTGGAGAAACAGACGGTTCAATACACCCTAATGAACAACAACTCTCAGAGAAAGCGCCTGTGTTTTCTCTCCCTGAACCGGAGTCAACTATGACCAAAGTGTCCTCAGCAGAGGGCAGCCTCAGCGGTTGGGGAGCGTGATGGAGGACTTTCCTTCTTCCTCCAGGAAGTGTACTTTCTCTGTTGTGTCAGCTGGCAGGATGCCTGGCTCCACGCTCTGAGCCAGAGGCTCTCATGGGGACGGCCTCCTCTTGTCTGCTGTAACCTTTCCTAAGGTCCTGTACGCAGCCGAGGCCTTTTGGTAAAATTCTCTGTTTTTCTTAAAATGCCAGCCTCAGGCTGGGGGTATATCTCAGCGGTAGAGCACCCCAAGCATGGGCGAGGTCCTGAGTCTCAAACTGAAAAAGAAACGCATGGAGACCCCCACCAACCTCAGGTCTAAGTGGGGTAGATGGAGGGAGACCACTGGGTAGAGGCTGGTCAAAAACAAAGGATAGAAACTGACACAAGCCTCTCACCCCTACGTATACCAGGATAAAGCAGGATTGCCATAAGGTGGAGGCCAGCCTGGGCTATGGAAATAAGAAAAGGGGGGTGGTCTGAGGAGACAACTCGGTCAATACAGCACTTGCCACACATCCACACAAAATTCAGGAGGCAGAGACAGGAGGATTCCTAGAGTCTGCGGACCACTCAGCCTGGCTAAATCAGTGAGAGACACTGACTCAGTGGTTAAGAGCACTGGCTGGTGTTCCAGAGGTCCTGAGTTCAATCCCCAGCAACGACATGGTAACACAGCCATCTGTAATAGGACCTGA